ACATGTCAAGGTGGAACATATCTTTCACATTCTTGGGTGAACCCAATGACCTCACGTCTTGTCATGAGGAGACAAAGAGGCAAGGAGCACTGGACTCAGGATATGATGCGGACGCTTGGGCATGGACCTGGCCTCACCCAAGGGACACACAAACAAATGCAATTGACAATCACCGCCAAAGACACGAATATTGCAGTATGTCTATATGCACAGCGCCCCAAAAACTGCTAATTAACATATGTTTGGTCAGCACAAATGTTCCACTCAATTAAGAATTTCGCCAGGATTGGAGCGAGCTTGACCTTCATCCTCAGATTACTCTGTAATGCCTTTCCAGTCCAGTGCTTCCTGCCTCATGTGTTTCTCACAGCGATTACTGAGGTCATTGAGCCATATAAATAAAGCAGGGACTAAAATTTGATCTGTCAGAGTCATGCTGTAAAGTTGCCCACCTATGTTCGAGTCGACCGCTTTTGCTTATGTAAGCAGTGTCACACCCAATGATTGATTTTTTGAGCTTTCATATGACTTGCCTGGCTTCAAATTGAACTTGTTTCTGGGGTTATGGAGCCATATTAATCCGATGGAAACACTGTTTTGGTCTGAAAAAATCATATTCTAGAGTGATGCTACCCCCTCCTTCTCCTTTGCCTTGACTTCTGAACCACTCAGATGTACATCTAGATGGGCCAGGTGGCTTGGACTTGCGCTCATCTGACGACAGTTTTCCTTTGCCTCGACCTCTTACTCGCTCAGAGCCACGTCTCACTGCGTTGTGAATGCTCAGCGAGGAAGCTACAAGCAAATGTACCAGGTGACTTATGCTCATTTAGCGATGATTCACTCAGATGCGTTGTAGAGACTCCATTGCGAGTAGCCTCACAAAGGCCGTATTTCCACTTCGTCTCCACTAACGCGCGCTATATACGACAAGGCGACTTAAACGCGCTAAACGCGCGACGCTTCCGCCTAATCCGCGCATCCGCGCATCTGGCGCCTATAGCGCGCCTCTATAGCGCCTTTCGCGTTACTACGGCGCCTTTGCGCGCGCTTTCGCGCTTTACCTTCGTGTTCGCTTTTCCAAGTCGCCTGTCCTCCGCACGTCCTGTCCTGTCCCTCTATGATCCGCTGGTGCGTCTCCCTTTATCTTGTCAACTGACTTTAGCTATATACCTCGTCTGTTTACACATATTTCCTTATTCTACAACACAACAACTCTTTTTCGCTTCGCTTCCGCTTCGGCTCAGCGCCTGGGAACATTTACCTTAGACATGGGGACTCTGATAGATTTTTCACTTACTTACTTACTCACTACATCCCATCATCCTGCATCAGTGTATACTGTGAATCAATTTCTATTCATTTGCAACACAACCACTGCGCGACTCTCTATTCTTTTGCAACAAGCTCTCTTGAGAAAATCTGGAGAGACCTTCGCGCTACTTCCGCCTCTTCACTAACGCCTATAGCGCGCTTGTTCCGCCTCGCGGTTCTGCCTACGTCGCGCTTGTTCCGCCTCGCGGTTCCGCCTACGTCGCGCTTTCGCCTTTCGTCGCGTTAACGCGCGTTTCGCGTTTACAAGGCGTCTCGCACCCGCGCTTTGCGCAGATTCCCTTGCTGACTCGTTCAGCGCATCCCCTCGCATTTACTCGAGGAAAAGACTCAGTAAAGGTCCTCTTGGGCCGACTTCTACTCGCGTTCGAGGACTACTGCAGGCGACTTATCTTATATTTTTCAGTATAGACCCACTCACGATTCCTCATCTTCAGCGTGTCAGCGAGGAGCCATGAGTGAGTGAATGTATGATGTGACTTGCACTGATTCAATGCCTCGCGCAATCTCTGAGCTGAACCGGCATCAACTCTAGGAGGGCATCTCATATTTGATGTACTTGCAGGGTGGTCTGACTTGGAGACGAGGAGTCGCCATCCCAGGCCTGGGCCTCTGGTGCCTCGATTACATACTCTATATGCAGTGGATTCTCAGGGGAAAATGTCACTGTGTGAGCCGGAGGACCATGACCTGGGCATCACCTGGTGTATTGAGCGCTATCGTCTATGCTACTGGCAGCATGGTCAACAACAGTCACTTCCAGGAATAATAGGTGAAACCAAAAGACTGGTTGATCTGCCAAGTTCTTGAGAATATTTCATGACGCCAATACTTTGTCTAGGGTGATGTGTTCTGAGGCATTGTCATAATTCTTTGATAGTCTTGCCTTCCTTGGCATGGCACTTCATACACAACACTGGTTCTACCTCAAACACATTCATATCCAAAATTTATAATTCACATTAGCGATAATAGTGACATGGATAGCAAATGCTCTCAGAAGCGAAAATTATTTATACTATTCTAACAGTTACATTAAACACAATTAACTAAACCCTCATAGAAGGGTGAGAGCTATCTAAACAGCCATCAGTTGATCTCAAAAAGCCTCATGAGGCGAAAATAACTGGCACTATTATCAATAGTAGGCTCCCATTGAGGAGTGACAACCAGTCAAAGGCCCCCAGACCCACAAAGTGAAAAAAAGCGAAAAAAAACTGGTACTATTATCAATAGTAGACTCCCATAGAGGAGTGGCAACCAGGAAAAGTCCCCCAGACCCACAAAGTGAAAGAAAATGCGAAAATAGCTGGCACCATTATCAATGGTGGACTCCCATAGAGGAGTGACAACCAGCAAAAGAGGCCCCCAGACCAACAAAGTGAAAAAAAAAGCGAAAATAGCTGGCACCATTATCAATGGTGGACTCCCATAGAGGAGTGGCAACCAGCAAAAGAGGCCCCCAGACCCACAAAGTGAAAAAAAGCGAAAAAAGCTGGCACCATTATCAATGGTGGACTCCCATAGAGGAGTGACAACCAGCAAAAGAGGCCCCCAGACCCACAAAGTGAAAAAAAGCGAAAAAAGCTGGCACCATTATCAATGGTGGACTCCCATAGAGGAGTGACAACCAGCAAAAGAGGCCCCCAGACCCACAAATTCAAAAAAAGAGTTTGGGGTGAGTGAAGAAGAGGGAAGAAAGAAGGAATGAAAATTTTTGGTTCAAGTTCACCGCATTTTTGCTTATATAAGCATTTCTAAATACAGCCCATCACTCAGAAATTCACATATATTCCAGAGTGATGCCGCTGTCTCCCCCTACCTACTGTGCCCAGAGGCATGATTCCATGTCAATACTGATGTTCCTGAACTCATGGACCAGTAGAAACAACGGTTTGATATGTCAAAGTCATGTTGTTGCAAAGTTGCCCACCTATGTGACCGCTTTTGCTTATGTAAGCAGTGTCACCCCTGTGATGCTGCCTCACCCAATGATTGATTTTTTGAGCTTTCATATGACTTGCTTGGCTTCAAATAGAACTTGTTTCTGGGGTTATTTGGCCATCTGAATCTGATGGGAACACTGGTTTGGTCCGAAAAAATCATATTTCAGAGTGATGCTACCCCCTCCCCCTCCCCCTACCTACTGTGCCCAGAGGCAGGATTCCATGTCGATACTGATGTATAAAAGGATGTTTCTGGTGTTTTTGGATCATATTAATTGATTGGAGATGGTCTCAGAGTCATCTGGGCTCATGTGAATTGTGATGTGTCAGTTGACCTGATACCCCCCCACAAAGATCGATTTTTTCAGGCTTCCCATGACTTGCCAGTACTCCAAAACTATTCTTCCTGGGGGTTCTTCATCCATCTGAACACGATGGTCGAGCCAGATTTCCCAGAAAAAATCATGTTCTTGAGATATGCAGGGCCCCCCCTCCCCCCTCCTAACTCATATATCTTGATATTATGTAAATACCGATATATCAAAAGATGTTTCTAGTGTTTTATGATCACAGAAATCGATTGGAGATGGTCCTGGAGTATTCCCGGCTTGTCTGAATTGAAATATGTCAGTTTGCCTCATGCCCCCCCCACAAAGATCGATTTTTACAGACATCCCATGACTTGCTGGTGCTCCAACAGCATTTCTCCCGAGGGCTATTGATCATTCTGAACACGATGGTCGAGCCAGATTTCCCAGAAAAAATCAGGTTCTGGAGATATGCAGGGCCCCCCTCCCCCCTCCTAACGCATATATCTGGATATCATGTAAATACCGATATATCAAAGGGTGATCCTAGTGTTTTATGATCACTGAAATCCATTGGAGATGGTTTCAGAGTATTTCTAGCCTGTGTGAAATAAAATAGGTCAGTTTGCCTCATACCCCCCACAAAGATCGATTTTTACAGCATTCCCATGACTTGCCAGTGGTCCAAAAGCATTTTTCCTGGGGGCTCTTGAGCCCTCTGAACACGATGGTCGAGCCAGAATTCCTAGAAAAAATCGCGTTCTTGAGATATACAAGGTCCTCCTCCCCCCTCCTACCCCCTATATTTTGCTGTACTTGATTTTAACTCAAAACCAATACTGTAAAGGACTGTCCTAGGGTTTTTCAGGTGTAGGAATCGATTGGTGATGGTCCTGGACCATCTGGAGGTCGATATTGGTGACATATGGTGGTGGGGCCAAAAGGGCAGTATTTTGAGCATATCTCCATAACCCAACCGCCGATTTCTCTAATTCTTGGCTCATATCATTCCTAGACATACCCTCCATGATATGTACCAGCCCACAAAAAGAAATAGTTTCACAAGTTTGAAACCTATTTCAGTTTTGACCATATAAATTTTTGGGAGGCTTTTTCTTCGTTGCGGATTCCAACCCCTTCTCCAACTCAATTGTGCTGAGACGGTAACGTTCGCAGAGTAAACGTAACATTTTGCCGAGAACTGGGCGCCAGATTTGAGATCCAGGGCTTGAGAATCGGCTGCTAATCTTTTCCATTTGACTTCGATATTTTATCCATTAAGAAACTCTTGAATTAGTGGGAGTTCGTTCACCTTCTTCCGGTTCCACTCGTGTGACAGGTATCTTTGGACTTCCAACAAGTGCATCTTCGAAGAATATAACCTTAACCTCCTGGGCTGCCAAAACTATCAGACCTATGTGGACTTGTAAAGGCGCAAGAAATACTGACAGATCAATTCAATAGAATCAACGGTCATGGTTCCACCCCAGCTTTTTCTGAGTGTATGCTCTGGAATGGCTATTGACTGACTGGCCTTGTTCCTAGTTTTTATCAAACAAGATAGTTCAATGTCGTCCAGCGAGATCGTAACACGCCGAATACGGGCCAGGAACGTTATGGATGTTGCTAGAAATCGCGTGAGTTCAAAGATTCGCGGGATGACAGACTCCTGCTTCAGCTCCATCTCGATCACAGTCCAATTGTCGCGGTCACCGTCGATATGTTCTCGCTTCGCGTAGAGCTACGTGCACGTCAGAAGCGCCGAACTGAAACTTGAGTCTGAACAAAAGCGTGCCTGATCTCCGTGATAATACATGGATACCATCTTTTCTGCAGCATCCAATGAGTGACATGCAGGCTGCATCGAAGGATCACGCACCATTCGATTTGACAATGGGATTGTCAGTTACATTGAATACACTGAAGAAACCTGCACCATGACAATGATATTGCCCTTACTATCATGATGACTCAGGATGATAACGGAATGCATGAATCATACCGATTCCAACTGCATCAATGTTTCGTTGGTCTGGATTGTCTTCAACTAGATCAAAGGCTCAGCACCCAGCAGGATGATCAACATTTTCACAAACCAGTTTTTGTCAGACGCTTCCAGTCACTTTCTTGAAATGGAGCACCGTCATTCTTCACAAGCCACTTGAAGACCTTTTAGACGAGAACGTGAGCTCTCCATAGCCAGTACTTCCTCATCACACACCTTGGCTGAATTGAGATCTAGCTTCGACTCATTACTCGCACATCCTTGTGGGCTTTGAAATACAATAGCAAAGTTCTCGGCCCCAGCACTGTCCGCATTCTGCAACAGTTCTCGGAAAACTTCATTGTAATCAGTCGTACGTTCTAACTTCTGACTCAATGTGGTTCTCAACGTACCTGTGAACTCCTCTGGATAGCGGGCGAAGACTTTATGGACAAGGTCCCGCTGGTTGACATCCACTGTCGAAACCTTTTAACCAAAAGGTAAGATCTGAAAGAGTCCAGCTATTAGGTGCCAATAAAAATAGCTCACCTGAGGCTCAGACATTCCAGGACAACCTCGAGAGGTCCGTCGAAGCACGAAAGTAAGTATGTGGGGATACTGAGACTCTAGAACAAGAGGTTAAATAACGTTGCATTGACTGTAATATTTTACAGCAGCTGGTCTCACGTGCAACACGCGTAGCCATACAAACTTACAAATGGACCCACAACTTAATATGATCTACGGGCGCTTGTTCTTGTATTCTGGAATTGCTGTGCATCTCGGCTAAGGTTGCCCATACGCAGTCCTGTAGCCTGACATCATGATGTGGGATACAATGTGTTAGTCGGCGAGCACAACTTTTGAAGCTCACCGAATCCTGGATTGTTAAGAGTACAAGTAAACTCTCGCCCTTGAGGGTCTGCACGTAAGTAATGTGTACGCAACTTGAATAGGCCCAGAGGTGCATTAAAATATCGCCTTATGCTGAATCGAGCATGAAACGCAGAAAACCTTCCGGGGTGCTGGACTCCCGAAAATTTGCAGGATGCAGATATGGCATCCCGAGACCGTGCAGGTATGCATTTGTTGCTCTAGATGGGCATATTGTCCTTGGCAAAGATTAGTACTAGTACCATGACTCACGCTGCAGGCCGAGCCATGCACTAAATGAATATTTTCGCACACCAACAGTACTTGTTGATGTTCTACTCGAAGGGCGGAGGCAAAAACGGCAGATACTGCGAACAGCCGCATCACTGCTGTATCATACATTGCTGTTCAAGCATACGAGCATATGATTGGGTCTCAATTTCGTTCAGTGCCACGAGACTTCGCAGCGCTGCAAGTGAAGTGTTTCACGCTCATCCCCTCTACACTATATCCTAGTCTATGCTCACTTCACTCATCTCCAGAATCGTTGTGCGACAATCTAGTTCTCTCGACAGGATCACGAGGACTTCAAGAAGCTTGTTCTTTAATTGCCGACGATACTGGCAGCAATCAAAGCCATGAATGCTCACTCACGACAAAGTAGAGCAACTGAGATGATGGAAGCTGACGAAGACAAGTAGCTAAAGTACCATTAGCTGCTACTAGCACATCATCAGTATCGTAGAGTGTGGCCGAAGGAAATTTTTGCGTCAAAGGGCGAAATTTTCAATTTTTTGCAAGGACTCCCAAGCTTGTCCACCTCCGGAGGGTGTCACAGCTAGGTCTCCAAAGTCCAGATGTTTCCCTCCTATCTACCTCCGGACCACCCCAAAACTGTCCACCCCTAAATTAGGTCTGCCGGGGCAGACCTTTATAGGGATTATCAGGGATCCTTATAAGTCCCATTCTCTACGCAAATCTTACGTTCCTGGCTCATCAATATTTCGGCCGTTTTCCGTCCAAATGGTGAGGTCCAGTTCTCACTGGGGTTGAATGAACGACGCGTTGAATGATGGGGACTGATAACGCGAACAGCCGGTTCCAAATAAGGAGTCGTAAGCGTCGTACCGTAATCAGTTTCGTAACTTATTCGGATCCCAGGTGAATGCAAACTTTTAGAATTGAACAGCCCTCTGAGGTGCATGATCCATGCTGTTGCAATCAGGCAAGCGCTCCCTGCAGGGCCTCATTGTACATTGCGCCCCCCAGTATAAATTAAAAACGATGTATACGATACGCCCGGGCCAAACTGACATCCGATAATGCGCTTAGCTGTACTTCTCTGCGTCTTTCTCTACCTTGTTGGAGTCATCCAAGCTACACCTACAACAAATGCAACAAATGCAACTACCAGTAGCGACACTTTGAAAGCCCCATCATTCACGACCAGAACTCTATGGGCAATTGTCTCTAACTCCGTTATCACTGTATATGCGTGTATCTACACTGCCATTCATCCTAATATTCCGAGCCCTAAAGACAGCACCCTTACTATCCTACGGCGACGGCTTTGGATCATGATAGTGGCACTGTTAGCTCCTGAGCTAATTGTCGTATGGACTACACGCCAGTGGCTCAGTGCTCGTCTAGTCACAAAACAGTTCAAGGGATATCCTAACGTTGGTCCGCAGTCGGAGTTTCATGATTATGAAGGTAAGTTGTGCTTTTGGAAACTCTGCATCTCACAATTCACTATATACGTCCTTAGAAAATAACGTTGTTGAAGCACCTAACTCTCCCGCCTTTCGCTTCCTTCACTTCGATCGTATCTTTCGCCCCGTTACCTTCTTTTGCCTCCTTCTTGAGGTGCTTGCTAAAGGTGTATCATGTGTGCTGGCGTTTCTTCGGCGTTTCCTTGATACTCTCGCGAAGTGGGTCAAAAGGTCGGGTAAAGCTGATTCCCGAAAGCCATCTAAAGGTAAATCCGATCCATGTTCACTCAAACACTGATTCATGTGCATCCTTAGATAATACGTGGACTCAAACGCACAGCTTCTTTGTGCTGATGGGTGGATTTATGCTTTATGTGGACGAGGAACCCTACTGTCCACTACAGCCTAACCACATGCTCAAACTGATACATGAAGGATGCATCGACGCCCCTACACTAACTGCAAACGAGATCAATGACAAGAGCAAAGGAAATGCGATATCGAAAGGATTGGTCGTCCTTCAAGTGACCTAGTTTGTTATGCAGTTCGTCACCCGCGTCATCTATCACCTCAGAATTACCCAGCTCGAAGTGGGGACATTCATATTTGCGGTTTTCACTTTCCTAACTTATGCTATGTGGTGGAACAAACCTCTGGATGTGCAATGTTCACATCCAGTGTACTGGAAGTTGCGCGAGTCAAGGCCAGAGGATTACATTGAGTATGTATACACCTCGACAATTATACCGCTACTGATTATGTCTGCCTTAGTGTCCCCGACGCAGACGAACTCATTCAGCTTGGGATCTGGGCTCCAGTTTTACGCCCAGCTATGGAACTACTGGGCTTACTCATTGCTGTTCCTGCATCTCGAAAGCTTCGGGTTCGAACACTTGATGGCAGTGTTAATCACGGAGATTCGGACAAGGTAGTTCTTATACTTGCTGTAGAGCTTCTGGAAACCTTGTTTGGCGTCATGCATTGTATGGCTTGGTCATTTCACTTCCCCACACCCGAGGAACAGGTACTATGGCGCATTAGTGCCGTTGGACTGGCTTGCGGACCCTTACTTTGTATATTCGCTGTGTTTATCTTGAACGCCCTGGAAATATCACTTGCGTCTCTTATCCGGATCAGTATATTAGGTACCATATCGTACATCGCAGCACGTACCATCCTTTTGCTACTTATGTGCACCACTTTACGCGATCTTCCTCATGGCTCAGACGTATTTGACGTGGTGTGGTGGACTAGTTTAGTGCCGCACTTGTAGTTCTTGATCATGGTGTTTGTGGACCAGTGATGCGGCATTCTTGTCACTTGTAGTCAACAACGGAGCTAGGTACATAAGTTGTTTTGCAGCATATTCAAATATATGTCCCCCCCCGAGCATGGCGGCACCCCGGACGGTTGCGGCTAGCCGCAACATACTGCAAGGGAGCTGCAAGATCTTAATATGCTCCTGTGTTATTAAGATAGCCTCGCCCTTTGTAATGATGTTCACTGCATGCAATGTGACGCACCATTGACAATGTCTACTTCACCTGCTCGATCGCGGAGACCGTACAATTGCAATCATTAATCATTAATCAACGTTAATGTACGCCTCCCTTTGCATCTCGATACCTCATTGCTGCAGCCACCAATCAGAGCCCTTGTTGGACATATTGTCCAGCCTCATGCGCGCACTCCCACCGATCCTCTTCAAGTTGTTCATTTCCATGGATCTCGTAACATTCATCGACGACACATGCTACTATCTGAGTTGTCGGCTTTGCCTCCCACGCTCCGAGTCGGGCTCCAACAACAACAGAGAGTACTGATCAGCTCAAATAAAGATATCCATGAGTTGTGAGTGATATCACCTTGGTGCTGGTCCATAGTGCTATACAGTCATTCTTGCTAGTTTTATCAACGACAGTGAATTCCGAATCATCTCCGATGAGAGGCGCTAGTTGTAGCACCCTTGCGAAATAATCTGAGTTCGAGCTCTGCGCACCTTTGATGACACTATGTACGCTAGCTTGATCTATGGTGAACATAATAAGTTGGGTGTCTGATCCTTGTAGAATAAAAACTTGCCTGCAATAGTGATGTGCTTGTTGGAGACAGTCGGACACCAGCCCCTGCAGTCCACTTGAGCTATCAAACAGCTTACGCTCACCCGGAACTGTCATCGTACAAGCCCTGCACGAAGATAATGCAGCATCGGCTAGACTATCTGGCCTCCCATTCCAGACGGGGGGTGCGTCTCTGTCCTTCACTGGCAATCTGACCAGAACCTGGTGCACTTTTTCAATGAGATTTGTCAACCACTCCCTCGGAACACCATTATCCGAGTCTGAAAATTCCGCCTAGTCGCTGTGACTAGGCCTGGCATTGCATTGATATAGTCATGCTCCATGACATGGCGTGAATAATAATTCCACGTCTTTCCGATGAGTCATCACCACATATCCTGGGCAGAGTTGAAAGGAAGATCCTCTCCTGGGGGTCAATGCGCCCGAAGATCACGGGAAGATAAGTTGCGAGAAACCAAGATTCCCTTTTACAGACTCCGTCAACCAGAGAAATAACTGCTTGAGATGGCCATCACAAGCTAGGCGTTGACACCACTTGTCCTTCGTTGTCAGAGCAAAGACGAGGCAGATGCAGCGTTCGTCTCGATTGTTGTGGGAAGAGGCGCCGTGTCCACTGTTGTGGATTGTCCGGTTGTAATTTGGATGTGCGGCAGTGACCAGAGCACAAGAGAATTGATCCAGGAGTTGTGCATCAATGCCCTGCGGTATCGACTCACATGTGTATGAAGTCTACTCTTCTCGAGCGTCACAAACAGCTCTCAGGACGGCATGCCAGACTCGGGGAGGTCTGGTGGGGCTCATACAACGGATAAGCACCCTGATGGAGGAAGGCCGCTTGGCAGAGCTGCCCAGTCCCTGCATGGTGCTCAGCGCAAGTAAAGCATCACCGTTATGGGCACAGCATCGACTGTTGCTCGTCTATTAGTTTAAGTACCTTCTGAAGTTCTGATTTGAATCCCCACCCTTGTCCAACTCTAATAATTTCCTGAAGAGAGCGGGGATCTGTCCTCTCTGATCATGAGGACTCAGGAAACCTCTTCCATGATCTCTCAGGAGACTCTGCATAGTACTCGGCCTTGCTGAACCGTGCTCCTCAGCTGGCAATAACCACCGGGTTGCACAAACAGATTGAGTCTATCTGCTCGACTGCTGATCTTTGCTCGTTTTGCAAAAGGACAAGACAACATCCAATCCAATTTAATCCAGCCTAAACCTCATGTTATCGCAAACGCGATGGCCGCGTACCAGTACAATAACGAGAAATAAAGACCTTACGAAGGAATTTTGGTAGACAAATGACAATTTAATGGGCCTTTCCTCCGTTCTGCCGCTCTTTCAAAAGTGATCAGTGGAACATTAATCCATTTCGTGTTGATGTATGGTTGAATTTATATCAGGCTCCGAAGTGGAAATCAGGTATCCACGGTCGCGCTAACGTTAATCAAATGTAAAGCTTGTTAGTAGATAATGTTGGCAAGAGATGTGGACGCAGCGCTGGTGGCCGGGACGGTCAGGGTCGGCCGTTTTCATGGTCCTAAGAGTCTACGTCACGTAAAAATATTTGATCACGCCTGCAGTCGCATTGACTGTAAGAACCTTGACACCAACAAATTCTGCACAGTGATGATCATGATCGTCATAAGTAGGCTCGACGGGCACCAAAAGGATGTACCTACCCCAGTGTCCGCGAGAGCCATATACTGGAACAACCGACCCTTTCACGTTTGCTTACAATCTGAACCTTGCCCTCCCCACACTGCTGTCCCAGGTGACGGGGTAATACCCATAGCTTCGCTCAGGTAAAAGCACATGCGACTCCGCGTCGTACACAAATTCTTCTCCATCGATCTGTACACGGATCAAAGGGTCTTTAGCAGTGGAATAGTAAAGCAAGGAATCGTGCGATGTAGGTCTTCCGTAGAGTGTAACGAGCTTGGACGGGGTGAGTTAGCGCTGCGGCAAACCCATTTACAAAGTAGCGAGCTCTGAATCGTGGTGAACGCGGGCTTCCATCTCGATTTCAGGATGTGGTGTTTGTCACAAGATGGGCATCTCGGACCAAGTAAACGCATCGGCTTGCTTACACTGTTGATTAGGTAAGCATTCAATGGAGACGATCAGGAGCAATCATTGAATAGTACCAGTGACTGAGCACACAGGAGTACATAGTACCATTCTTCGACCAAAGAACTGTCATCCAAGTTTTAACAACAGTCCGGATCCACTCTGGTTTATCTCGCACCAAGGAAATCTTCAAGATAATCCTCGGTACCTCAACATTTAGCTCTGACAATATCTATGTCGTTGACCATATTAATGCAGTTGGCGTTAAAGTTTGCGTCATGAATCAATCAGGTCTTCCTACTCCGCCACCTACATCCGCCACGTCAGCTACCAACCCTGCACAGTCATCATCGAACGCGGCTGGTCAATCTGCAAGTGATGTCTCGTTAGGCTCTATTGTCGCGACTATAACTTTGGCATCAAGTCCTTCCCAATTAAACCAATATCTGAGGAGTTGCGCATCCAAAGATGTCAGAGAAGTACTGCTGGCCAGCATTTTGCCAGGTAGCCAAGATCCACTGGCTCTGTTAAATGCGCGAGATCACACACTTGGCATGCTTTACATTTTGTGAGTGAGCCTTATTGGAAAGTTTCATTACGCATACCAATCTCCTGAAGGTCTGCGCGACTGCATACTGTCGCGTCTGATAAGCCTTTGTGGCACCATATCGAGGGTTTTTGCCGCGATTTTATCCCTGAACATGCTCGCCTTGCTCCGGATCGAGGTTAGCCTATCCTTACTCATGTGCCAGTATAATGAGGCCATATACATTCAGTGACACTTCTTGCAACTGGAATACGACAATTTGCTGAAGTTGAAGGAAACGTAAGATATATTATTGACTTAGCTCTCACTCGATCTCAAGTTTCTTAGCCCAAACTTGCAATCGTGCCATTATCTGATTTGCTTGTAAAATATCCTCCAACCCTTTCACATCTCACCACCATCCACCCTATTTTCCTGACGGTAAGCTTGCCAACTGGCAGCCTTTCCAAGTTTCTGATTCGCCAGTAATTGTTACAGGTTTGTGTCGCCACACGTCATTTTACAGCCGCAATCCCCGTCCTAGCTCATTCGATCACTACAATTGATCTCTCACTTTCCGACTTAACCTACCACGATAATTTAATATATCACTACGCCGGTGGCATCGCACTTGCTGCGCTAAAGAACTGGCCAGCTGCAGAAGAACTCTTCGAGATCTGTGCATCAAGTCCAGGCACGACGGCTTCCGCTATTCAAATGGAAGCACTAAAGAAGTTGGCCCTTGTACAATTGATATACCGCGGCAAGGTATGAGTATCCTCCACGGGTGAACGGTTCGCTCACGCATTCTGATTGGACAGACATCGCCTCCATCCAAGTACATGCACCCAATTCTTATGCGACTTTTCAAGGCAACTCCTTACTCAAGTTTCATGAATGCCTATCCTCTGCAGCGCGACTACCTTCGCACGATAGTCGAAAACGAGCAGCAACTATTCGCTAATGTACGTCATTGAATGCGCATGAATCCGTGTATCATTAACCACCCGTATAGGAAAGAACTCTTGGTCTCATCACCCAGGCACTGGACCGCGCGCCCCGTTGGGCCATAAAGAAACTCACAACTACTTATCTGACATTACATTTATCCGATATCGGACGAGAAGTGGGAATTTCCGACGAGAATGAAGTGAAATCTCTGATTTTGAGCATGGTGGACCTGTTTTCCCTTGGCGAATCGTACGAATAACTGATACTTTATGCTAGATCGAGTGCTCGGAAATCTCCGCGGAGCTGTCTGCAGATGGGACTGTGTCATTCTCGGACCCACCAGTGAAATTCGAGAAGGCTGATGTCGACCGAGTGTTGGCACAGGCGCAACAGCAGGACGCCCTCCTTGTGAGGCTTGAGAAAGAGATGGAAAGGAACAAAGAATATCTGACAAAGGTATGTCCTCGACGTGCGAACCCTGTCGGCTCCGACACTATTTTCTGCTCGATCACGTTATTTTAACTTTTGGGGATCGAATTGGTTGGTGGACGAATGCTGATAGATACTCTAGGCGTTCAAGAGCAAGGACGACGCGGGTTGGGGACCAGCGATGGATGAAGATGGTGCATTTGGGGACCGTCCATCGGGTAACTGGGTTGAAGATATGAGCTTCGCTTGATCCAAAGACCCGATGGAAAAAGTAGACCGCTTTGCACTGATCAGTAATCTGTTCATTCACCATATTCCGTACGATTGGTCATCATCAATCAGTTTCACCTTTCTTTCTCCGTAACCAGCGTCCATGAGCCCACACAAATAGATCAAGTCGGTGTTTTATCATTCTACTATTGCAATTTGGGACACGGAGGCCGTGTGCCAAGAGTCCACCTGATGAGGTGCCTGCAGCTTCCTGTACTGAGCATGAGGAGCCGCAGCTCTCTTTCCTGATGATATGATCATGATGGGATAAGGCTGCTTGGCACCTTCGAAGTGCTCTATCCGGTAGCACAGTTGATGAGTTGATGGCGTCCTAGGGGGGCCGCATGAGACTCATCGAAGAAGAGCGCGCATCTCCCTGTGAAACAAGCTGGTCACAATGGGCTCATCTCGCACGAATATGGTCTTCTTCGTTCACGTTGTGTGAGTCGCCACCGGAGATCTCAATCCTGGGAGGGCTAGTCTTTTGATGCGACGTGGGTAATTTTAGGCCGCCGATACTTGTGGACGCAGGTGTGGAAGTACTAATCGGGTATCAACAGGGGCCCGCGCCCCAAACCATGGGAACAAACTCACAGACTTGATGAATGAATGAGCTGATTAATCACCCACTGTACGGATTATCAGAAAAGCCAATTTATAATCCATCGTATGTAATAGCACTTTGCACGAGGCCTGGCAAAAAGATAAAGCACGAAAGAATTTTTATTGTGCGCGCGCAATAGATATACAATGCAAGCTGAATCTGTACATATCAAATTCACGAGGATTTGGCGTAGCCATGGTACTGGGAAACGGTTGTCCCAGAAAGTCTTGCCTTGGATAGCAGCAATCTCAGCTTCGAGAGGTGAAGGCTGACGGGAGCCGTCTGTGCCTGCAAAGGTTCCCGCGCCCCAAGAAGAACCTGTTCGGAAATAGAACGTTGATTTACGAAACCATTCATTTGAGAAAAGTGCTTACCACCGTGAATCTCGGTCAGGTTAGACAATTGAGGGAAGGAGTGCTTGTAGCCGAGGGGAACGTAGATGAGACCATGGTGCACGAAAGTGGACAACGTGTTGGCGATGGTGATCTCCTGACCACCACCTTGGGTGCCAGTGGAGACAAACACACCGCACATCTTGCCCTGGAGAGCGCCCTTGCTCCAGAGAGGGCCGGTGGCATCCCAGAATGCCTGTACGAGTGCGTCAATGAACGGATTCAAGCCTGCAGATACAAGGTGACGTACCTTCCACTGAACGGGGAAGTTACCGTAACGGGTGGGAATACCAAAGAGGAACGCGTCAAAGTTGACAAGGTCGTCAGGGAGGAGGACAGGGTAGTCGGGTCTGGGGGGCGCCTTGACGAGCTTCAAGATATCGTCGGAGAGGGTCTCCTGGATCCTGGAGTGAAGTCAATGTGCGCTCATAGTTGATAGGTGTATATGAACGGACTGGTAAATGGAGGCATTGCCACCAGCACCGCTGATACCAGTCTTCACGGCCTCAGCCACTGAGATATGTATTAAGCAAGGAGGTGGATGAATGGGACAGAAGACGCACTCTTTGTGATGTGACCGTAAAGGGAGTAAATGACGATAGCGACTCTAGGGGCAGGCATATTGGGTTGAGCAACTTGAGGAATAGATGAAAGGGGAGGAAGAATGGGGGGAGAAACTGGTTGCTCTGGTTGAATCGGTTGAGCTTTTGTATCTGCCAAAGGTGTGGGTTTTGGCTCAGCGAAGTTATCCTTTTGTCGTTTTCCAGGGAAACACATTCCGTGGTATTAGTAGAAATAATAGCTCCCTTATTGCGAAGATATAACGGGTTTTGAGGACAGGCTTATAAAATGAAATATTCATGTCTAGCGTGAGATGGGGCCTGCGAATTGGAACTGCCACCGCAGGATTAAGAATACGTTAATATAAATGGGTAGCACTAGTAAGTCGCTTGGATGGAGGCCGTACCGTTGCATAATCCATTCGATGACGTCTTATGATGATCTAATCCTCTAGATGCCTCGCCTTCAACTTGAATAGAAAGTATTATCTGCAAACTAAAAGAACATGTTACTATATATATCAGGATGAAGTTACCCTGAGGCTGGAAGCTGCATACCATCTCGGACTCGGTTGTCCTCCTTGTTCCAGGTGGGAGGTGTGGGAGGCCAGTCAAACGTTAACCGTGAAGCTGTGACGAGAGCTTGTCGATGCTTGCCGCCCAGCCTGGCGGTGATGGTAACCCAGGTTGTGTTGATGAGGAAGTACTTGTATGCATACGAAGACTAGACTCGAGCAGAGATGGGTGAATCATCATGGTTCCAAATAGAGATAAAAATTCTCGGGATTTCTAAGAGATAGGCACAAGATGTACTGCCGTGATCGGAGGGTTCGCCCTAACGCCCAGTAAGATGAGCAATTGCGGCACAGATGCGGTTGATGACAATGCGACGTGAGTCTACGTGAGCTCGATCATCCAGGTTTGGCTTTTAGTGTGGGTCAAAATATGCTACATTGGTGCATTTTGCAATATGCACTGAGTCAGTGACGTATTGGATTCAAGTTACCGTTGCTGGTCAAGCAAGGACAAAGAATTGAGATTTCAATACAAATACCAGCTTGACCAACCCCCTTATCGATATCATATCATCCTTTTCTCCCATCTCAACTACAAACATGTCGTCTCCTAAAGTCGCAATCATCATTTACTCCATGTACGGCCATATCGCCAAGCGTAAGTACAAACCACCCACAATCGCGTCTACTCCTAATCCATCTTCATCAGTGGCCGAGTCCGTCAAGACTGGTATCGAGTCTGCTGGAGGCTCCACCACCATTTACCAGTATGTATTCAATCCTGGGCTTATCTGTCTAATCGTCTTACTTACGCCATTAATTCTTAATTAGGATTGGTGAAACATTGCCCGAGGAAGTCCTCGCAAAAATGCATGCTCCCGCAAAGCCAAATTATCCCATCATCACACCAAGCGAACTTGCCGGCTTTGACGCCTTCATCCTCGGTGTCCCTACCCGTTATGGCAATTTCCCCGCTCAGTGGAAAGTATGTATCTGATCCGTTCAATTCTCTCGACAAAAATTCTAATTATATGCCTCACTCTCATAGGCTTTCTGGGACGCAACTGGTGGGTTGTGGGTCAGCGGTGCCTTGGCCGGCAAATTCGCGGGTGTCTTCGTTTCTACCGGTACCCCAGGTGGAGGACAGGAAGCTACCGTCATCAACACCCTCTCCACTCTCTCTCACCACGGCATTATCTACGTTCCCTTGGGTTACAAAAACACATTCGCACAACTCTCTAACATGAGCGAAGTTCGCGGTGGTATGTTCATTCCCTCGCCTCGGTTATTGAGCGTCGCTAATTTTTACTTTTACTCAGGTTCTCCTTGGGGTGCTGGAACCTACGCAGGGGCCGATGGCTCACGCCAGCCTTCAGCCCTTGAACTAGAGCTCGCTACCCTCCAAGGCAAGGGCTTCTGGGAGATCGTTTCCAAGTACAAATTCTAGAGCCATTCATAAACATACATACGGACTTGCAGAAGCTTCATAGTAATGGTTACATACGCACAACAGAAATCAACTTTCATGTAAAATATATTGGCTCGCTAAATTCAAGGTTGTTGCACGCTGTCTGACTGGAAATACCTCCTGTGGGATAATAATATCCCTGTATGCAATATTTAGTCGCAGCCGCCATATACGACTCCGTTATACCAAATCGCCCCTCCAAGTCATCAGTATTAGTCGCAGCAGTACACCGCCCCATGGTAGTCTTCAGTTCTTACGTTCCTGCTCCGAAACAGGCGGGGTGTCAAGAAAGGCCCAAATAAGCCTTCGCACAACAGCCAGGGGGATCTACCACACACAAGCGATGTACTGGCTTCGGTCTCAGGACCTTGACGTATGATACGTAACCAAGTGTCACAATGCTATATAGTTGTCAGATACGCATAATCAACGTTCAAACGTCTAAACGCTCCTGAGAACTCACATAACGAAACACACGAGTGTTATCTGTACCGATCAAACAGCTCACAAGCGATTCACTGCCGGATTTGCTGTACATTGCGGGAACATGAAACCTTCGTCTTGGCACGATAAGCGATGAACGTTTGAACGTTGAACACCCGTGAGGAAGTGATCACATACGAACATTTTGGTGGGGATTATTGTCCCACCAACCTTTGCTGCTCAGCCAAGGCCAAGCAACTGCCGTCGGTCCGTCGGCAGCCATACAACAATGAAACGCGGGACCCAACATTCGTACACTGACCAGTGACAGCCTGAAACGGCGTGCTGCGAACTCTTGAGCTCTGGCAGTGCATCTATAGGCAAGCTCACGTGGCTAAGTGAAATGATCTCGACTCGAAGTCCGTTTGACGGTCAGATGTTAGGTGCTGTTTGCAAGTTGTAGCGACCTCCAAAGTAGTGGGGTCGTCATCATTAAAGGGAAGCAGAGTTTCTCGGAGCCATGTCCTCTGTGTGTAGCTGCTGCTATAATTTGAAGGACCGCCAACAATATGCCAAAAGCGGCTTTTATGGGCGCATCAACAAGTGGAATTTCCCCTACAGCAGCTTGTACCACAAATAAAAGATAGCCGAGCCATCTTCGCGAGCAAGAAGTGTGCAACACGAGGACTCGGTGGAAGACACGCTGGTGTGTGTCCGTTCGTTTGCCGAGTCAAACGCAGTGCAATCATGATGATCTTGGGCAGAGCCGTGTCCCACGGAATGTGAATTCGGCAATGTCGCTAAAGGTCACTAACTCACGACGAGGAGTGGAGGAAAGGAATGCGATATATCGCTAATCAAGAGCATCGCCCGATGGCTGAGGACGCAGCATCCATCCCTCGCGGTGTCCAGTCTCCGCGCTATCTGTGACGTAATCGGTACAATCGGCCAAAAACTCCGAGGCGAGATCCCAAGGTTTTCCAGCCCTGTCAAATACGGATACCGGGCCTCACCTGAGGCAGGGGTAGTAAGCTTTTCCCTAGGACAGGGTCGGTTGAGTCTAGCTATTTCCGATGGCCTATAGAAACGGGTTAGCAGAATGATGTCACTGTCAACACGTCTCCTGCGAGGTTGTTTGTGGATGGAGAACGTATCATCAAGATAAGACACGGAAAGAGAACTCATCCGAGGAAGGACGCTCCCGAAACTTTGGTAGTGGCGATACGCAATACGCGAGTTCTAGTCTGCTCAGGACCAGCAAAATGAAGACGTAGAGTAAAATACAACGAGCACTGTTGGACAGTGCGATTGTGACTCGCTCATAGCTCGTCACCCACCTCGACGCGACCCACAAGGTCGGCGGCCTGTCAATGATGTCAGAATCACAAGCGAGGGAGATTGCTGACAGTATACACCCTCTGGCGCTGAATGAAGGGACAACCCGTCCGTTCAGAACGAGACACTCCGGGACCTGACATTAGATCACATTCGCGATATACTATACCCACTTCCCTAAATGTATGGCAGAGATAATTAATAAGGCTTGAATCGCCGTGATTCCTTCAGTTTTTCGACACGTTCCTTGTCCGCCGCGAAGTTCTTCTTCAGGTCGAGCAAGGCTACAGGCACATGAACCGATATCCTCATGACAAACAACTTTACACTCACCTTTCCGTTGTTTTTCAGCCTTCTGGAAAGCGTAAAACACATCCTTCTCCTTCTTTTTCTCCTTCTTTCTTCTACTTCCAGTTTGCCCAGTGAGAATGAACTTCTTGCTGGCAACGCCCACGCCTCCACCAAGCGTTTGTCCATAAGCACCTCCTCTCGTAACGAGTGTGAATCCGTCCTCGTCCACAATTGCTTCCCCTTTCCGGTACTTGGCCTCCTGTTTACTCTTCGAAAGGTCAAATTCGAAGCGGTCCATAAAGCTGTCTGCGTGAGCTTTGACAGCATCTAGCGGAGGCCGCTCATTATCATATTTTGCCATATAGTGAGAGAGACCACGGGGCTCCCCAGAGGATGGCCATGGCTTAGGTGACGTAGGGGACAAAAGCGCTTTTGCAAGAGATGAAGAATCGAGAAATATGATATGGGCACAAGATCCAGTTTTGCGCAGTGTGCGAAGGGATGGAGAAGGGAGGGGTATCACTTCAGGGGGCGTTGGTTCGGAAGTTTGGAGCTTTCTTTTCTTGCGAGGACGTGCTTCGGTATCAGGTTCTTCATTGACGGCAGCCTCGGACATCTCCTCGTCAGAATCAGATGCGTGCTCTGTTAGAGCATCGGCAGAGTTGAAGTCAAATAAGACGCGCTCTACTGTCCCACAGTGTTTGAATAGCAGTGTGAGCTCACGCTCTGTTGCGATCTGGTGGCACGTTCACTAGGAATAGCGTGCGTCCTTCAGGTAGAACATTGTTGGGCTTCGTTTTGGATTTAGATTTGGCATGAGCTCTCGCATAGATGTAATGTGTTGAACTTGGATATGCGATTGGAATGACAGTGAAACCCGACAGACATTTCGGTAAAATAGGCATGTCGATGGAAGATCGAGGTAATTTTCACCAGGAAGTTGTTTGGATCGAAGGCTTTTGCCAAACAAACAACTCCGCTATGAAATTCAAACCTCGTGTCTTGAAGCTTGAAGATTTACTTCAAATCCTCGACGTAATAAGTGGTACGATTCTAGATACATGGTTGTATCGAGAGATTAACAATGCCCACATTCTAGTAAGCATGAAAGGAAAGCCTGAAACCTTAGAAGCAGTTGTATACTGGCAACAGCATCAGCAAGTTGTGAATTTTCAATCGCTCAACAGGATAACCGTAGGCAACTGATTGAGCCACAAAATGGGCAGTTCGTTTTATGTGTTATGAGTCTGCCTCTCAGTGTTGGAAGCAGCCATTTCCTCCTCTGCCAATTGTCGACTCTCTTGGGTGAGTTCACATGGGGTGCAAAAGAATGCAGTTAGGCAATCGTTACCGGAGCTTCCATCAATGTGGTAGCGCGCTCTCAACGTGGCCCTTTGCCCGAGCTAGCAATCTTCCTTAACATGTACCTGTGAAGAACGACAAAATCTATGCTCACCTGCAGTACCCAACCAAAACCGCACAACATATCAAGCGCTAGATGCATACAACAATCAGCATCGCAGCCCGAACCACCATGTTCCGGATCCGCCGTATCGTTTTCTTGCAAGTGGTCGAGTCGCTTCCGGTTTTTCCCATATACCATGCAAGGGCACCAACACGACATGCAATCTGTGAAGCAGGCTGTGGGTGATTCACTGTGGTAAGATTGTATGGGACTCACAAGTTCCAACATCATCCCAGCAACTAAACAGCCCGTTGTGCCAATAGTTGTGGGGTCGATCTTGTTGTCCGGGCTGCCCTGCACCCGAACCGGATCCTTCCTCCTCTTTCTTGTGACTCTGCTCAGCGGACTGGTCCGCTGGTTCCCCTTCCTTCTGTGACACCTCGGAAGCGTTCATTTGTCCTGTTGGTTGCATCTGCTCCTGGCGTGGTTGGGGATGAGCGGTTCGGTCGTCAGGAGCATCCTGCACTGGCTTGAGAAGCAAGGTTGTCAGAAAAGACTCGTTCACTATCAGGACATGATATACCTTCGATCCGGCTGAACCTTGTAAAAAATCTTGAGGAGCAACGAGGCCTGCAGTGCTTGGGGGAACAAACATGTTCAAGGTAGTTAGGAGGAATTGCAAGATTAGGGGTATTCGATGAGTCTAAAATATTTGCTTTCATTCACCTCTTACAAAACAAAACCATTGAGATCAGAGAATTGGCATCTTCAAGTTTAATCGCTATCTCGATGAGCACTTAAAGAACCGAGGGGCGAAGTTCTGAGCTCTATTGCAGCGCTCTCCCTGTATTTATCGTAGCAAGACTTGTCATGATTCTACAATGCTACTCCATTCCAGTGGCGCTGTAAATTTCAAGCACGACACTCAGAAAAATAGCATCGACTGGGACAAGCTTAAACCTACTTATGTACAGCTTCTGAGTGTAAACCAGTCCTGTAGAGGGTGTCTCTGAAATGGGTATAACTAACAAGGGTAGCGATGATCTGAGTCCTAGGGTCTCGGGAATTTGCACCAGGCAAACTTGCCCGGCTAATTTACCCTGCAAATTTACCGTGAATGATAGTACTATCAATTTCACACCCTCGAAAACATCATGATAGTGTCAATTTGGGTGAATTTGTTTCTACTGGACCCAGAACACCTGAAAAGCTTAAATATGATATACTGGACAATCCCGACAGCTCAGACGAACACAACCGATTCTCTGCTATTCCAAGTTGACCTTGCAAAACTCGTAGCAGTCATGGAGCCTTATGCAAAAGCAATTCAATGTCTAGAGTCGGCCCAAACAACTTGTGCAGACGTCTATTTGTACTGGCTTGCCATCGTTGCACAGATGGAACAACTGATTCAGGGCAATCCAATTCGACTATGCAAAGAGACCAAAAGTGCCATCCGTGCAATTACTAATGCGCGGTTCAAACAGATGATCAACGACGCACCAAATCTTGAACCCAGGTGAGTGATGATGCGTGTGATGAAAAGGCGTAGCCCAAGGACTAGCGGGCCTTCAATTTGGTTATGACGCGCACCACCGAGAGTCTCGTTCCTTGTTTTCGACCTTGTCTATCTTACCATCGCAGTTCTGTAATAACAATATTATCTTATTCTCCTCCTCGGATCTTTATCTGAGCCCCAACAGCAGACTTAGGGTGTTGCTGACATTAGGTCGAAAACAATCTCTTCACGCCCAAAACCATTATTCCACTCTACCCCTATCATGTCTTCAAACAATAATTCACTCGATGTTGATGAAAATATGTCTTCCCCTAATGGCGCTGATGGAAACGCCCTTCTTCAACTCCTCGCACAGTTGGTGCAAGGGCAGCAAGACTTTGGCCAGGTTGTCACACAAGTTCTAGCTCACCCTGCTCCAGTACCACAAACTCTGACTGCGCCGACTATCCCTAAAGCATCAATTGCTGAACCAGATGCTTATGACGGGAAGTACGAGACGTTCGACGCATTCATGAGTCAACTTTTTCTATTGTTTTCCGGCAAGCCGTTGGTCTATGCTAATGACCAAATGAAAATCATTACGACCTTGTCCTTTATGAAGAAAGGTTTCGCGGGTACGTGGGCGACCAATATCACGAAGCAGCTGAGGGAAGGCACTCTTGTCTTTGCGAGTTGGGCAGAGTTCGAGAGGAAGTTGAGAGGTGTATTCGATGATCCGAATAAGAAACGGCTCGCGCAGGTTAAGCTTCACGCACTGAAGAAAACTTCTAAACAATCGGCTGATGAATATTTCGCCGAGTTTGATCAACTCGCAACAGTCGCAGGCTTCAACGACGAAGCCTTGCTTGATATACTCCATCAAAACCTTGACAAGCCCACATTTGATGCAATTGTGGCTGCTCCGCAGGTTGATAGAGAGTTCACAGCATGGAAGGACTATGCGAAGAAGTATGATAGGAATAAGAGAGCAAACGAAAGGAGTGATGGAGGAGAATTTGCGAGTGGAAGGAGGTTTGGTGAAGGAAGAGGAGGACCGGGTTGGTTTCGGCCACAAGGAGGTATAGGATGAGGATCTCCCCATACAGGTACCACTGGAACGAGCGGCACCACTACGGACACTGGGAGTCACGCGGGCACAGGCACCGGGGGCACCAACACAGCGGGGGGCTGGCGCACTTTTCCTGGATGAGGGGAGCCCATGGATCTTGACCGACAGCGTGGACGAGCTACCTCTACCCAGCTCAAATGCTACAACTGTGGAGAGACGGGGCACATTGCTCGTGGTTGTCCTAAGCCACGAGGATGGAATACAATGAGGGCAGTTTTCGAGGGATTGACTGAAGAACAAAAGGGAGAAGTAGCGGAGATTTTTAATTTACAAGAGAAGTCTGGAGAGAAGCAAGAGGATTTTTGAAGATGCCGAGAGAGAAGGGTGCTAACTCACTGGCGATTGTACGATAAGTGCTGAATCAGTCAATGAAACTTGTGATTCGGACTCCCAAGCACCCACTTCTATAGATCAACCAAGAGTAAACTACAAAAGAAAAATCAGCGGAGAAAGGAGTGAAAACAGAATGATAAAAAAGAGGAAGCTAGTAAAAGACAGCTGGAGGATGACGAGAAGGTGAAAAAGGGTTCCTTGCTATGGACCATGGAGATGCTTCGTTCCAATGATGAAAAGGCGTTGAAGACGTTACGTCGTTGGACCAATCGTCAGCACATCTCGGAGGTTGATATTGACCTCCTACTCCAGCTTCGACAGCTCATGCCAATTCAACAAAAGGAGGTTCTCTGAGAGTTAAAACGTCCAAAAACCTGGATCCGCAAAATTAATTAGAATTCTGTTGTCACGCCGGTTACTATCGGCACCCTTGATGATCAATGCACCTTCCAATTGAATGCTCTTCTAGATTGCGGAGCCACAGGCTGCTATATCGACGAGGGATTTGCACGAGCCAAAGGTCTTAATCTCGAATCACTTCCTCAACCCATTCCAGTTTATAATGCGGATGGCTCACACAACGAAGGAGGTCCAATTCGATCTGTGGTGAAGTTGCGTCTCCAGGTACAAGATCATATCGAGATCTTTAATTTTGCAGTTACCAACATTGGAAAAATGGACCTTATCATTGGTTTCAATTGGCTTCGGAAGCATAATCCCTCTATCGACTGGCGCACTGGAGATATCACCTTTCATTGCTGTCCACTTGCTTGCTGTGCTACCTTTGGAGGAGAGATATCACATGAGCCAGAAGATGAACCTTGTAAGGAGAAGCGAAAAGTTGAGCAGTTAGAAGACAGAGATCGCATTTTTGTCACTAAGTTTGAGGTCGAGACGTTGGAAGAATGGCAGTATTGGGAGAAGGCTAGAAGATGTGAAAAGATTAGGGCTGTGGAAACACGCTCTCAGAAGTTGGCAGAGGAGGCACTTAAGAAGGGGACAAAGATGTCGTTGGAAGAATTACTTCCCAAACACCTTGAAGATTTTACGCCGGTGTTTGAGAAAGCCTCATTTGATCGCTTACCTGAACGACGTCAGTGGGATCATGCTATTGAACTCAAACCAGGCATCGAACCTTTCAATAGCAAGATTTACCCGCTAAGTCTCGTTGAGCAAGCTGAACTCGATAAGTTCATTGAAGAGCATCTGCACACAGGACGAATTTGACCTTCGAAATCCCCTATTGCTTCCCCATTCTTCTTCGTCAAGAAGAAAGATGGCTCTTTGCGTCCTGTACAGGACTATCGCAAATTAAACTCAGCTACCATCAAAAATTGGTATCCCCTTCCTCTGATTTCCAAAGTAATCCACAAACTCCGCAACACGCGATATTTTACCAAGCTCGATGTTCGATGGGGGTACAATAATATCCGTGTCCGTGAGGGAGACGAGTGGAAAGCTGTGTTTACAACCAATCGGGGACTCTATGAACCATTGGTAATGTTTTTCGGCCTCACAAACTCACCAGCTACCTTTCAGACGATGATGAATGATTTATTCCAAGATCACATTAGCCGTGGAGTGGTGATTGTTTACATGGACGACATTCTCATCTTTACCGAATCCTTCGAAGAACATCGACGAGTCACACGTGAAGTTCTTCAAATCCTTCGTGACAACCACTTGTATCTGAAGGCCGAGAAATGTGCCTTTGAACAGACGGAAATCGAATATCTCGGACTCGTTATTCGTCACGGCGAGGTTTCTATGGATCCAGTCAAAGTGAAGGGTGTACAGGAATGGCCTCGACCTACTATGAAACGCGAACTTCAGCAATTTTTAGGATTTGCCAACTACTATCGCCGTTTCATTCAAGGTTTCGCTCATATCGCTCATCCTCTTCACTGCTTAACTGGTAATGAACAATGGCATTGGGGAATAGATGAAGAAAAGGCATTCCAAGGCCTGAAAACTGCTATCACCACGGCACCCGTACTTATCCTACCCAAAGACAATGCCCCGTTTCGTGTCGAAGCTGATAGTTCCAACTATGCTACAGGAACAGTACTCTCCCAACTCCAATCCGATAATCATTGGCACCCTGTCGCATTCCTTTCGCGTGCACTATCTGATGTCGAGCGCAATTACGACATCCATGACAAGGAACTGCTCGCTATTATGCGGGCTCTTGCTGAATGGCGACATTATTTGATGGGTGCGCAACAAACCATCGAAATTGTCACTGACCACAAGAATTTGGAGTATTTTACTTCAGCAAAGAAACTAAAACCGTCGTCAAGCACGTTGGGCCTTGGAACTCGCAGAGTATGACTTCCGACTTACCCATAAGCCGGGAAAATCCCATGGGAAGCCTGATGCCCTCTCGAGACGAGCGGACCATGGACGGGGGGAGGAAGATAACGAAGATCGAGTTTTATTGAAAGAGGAATGGTTCCGAGCAGTAACAACGGAGATAGAGATGGAGGGTGATGAAATCTTGTCAAAGATTTGCACATCGAAGAGGGTTGAGAGGTTTGTAAGAGAAGCAATAAAGAAAGGTGAGAGAGGCTGGAAGGAACAGAACGGATTGAGGTTGTGGAAGAATTGTATTTATGTGCTGAATGAACAATCCCTCCGAGATCAGATCATCCACTCTCACCATGACCTGCCTGTATCCGGTCATCCAGGGCGCTACAAAACAGGCAGAGTTAATCTTGCGGACATATTGGTGGCCACGAATTCATGCGGATGTAACGCATTATGTGAGTGGCTGCGAGAAATGTCAACGTACTAAGACCTTTCCCGCAAAGCCATTCGGACTACTCGCACCTAATCCAGTGCCAGAGCATAACTGGCAGTTCGTATCAGTGGATCTCATAACTCAACTTCCCCAAAGCAAGGGAAAGTGACGCCATCCTCGTTGTTGTGGACCGACTGTCCAAGATGATACATCTCGCGCCAACAAATGGAGAGTTGACTTCTGAAGGTCTTGCACGTTTGTACCGAGACCGGGTATGGCAGGATTTCGGTGTTCCTGAACGCATCATCAGCGATCGCGGCTCTCAGTTCGTGTCTAGCTTTATGCACGACCTCAATCAGTTGCTCAGGATCCAAACCAATCTATCCACAGCATATCATCCACAAACAGATGGTCAGACCAAACGGATAAACCAAGAAATCGAGCAATATCTTCATTTATTCACCAATTACCGTCAGAATGACTGGGCAGAGTGGTTACCCCTCGCCCAATTTAACTATAATGACAAAGTGCAAACCTCCACTGGATATTCCCCCTTCTTCCTAAACTACGGTCATCATCCTCGCAAAGGAATTGAACCCCGCTCTAGTGTGAGGGCGGAAAGCGCGGATGTCTTCGCTTCGCGAATGCATCATCTTGCGCAGGAAGCCACTAGCGCCTTGACAAAAGCAGCGAATGACATGAAACGTTATTATGATGAACACTGTCGTGAGGCTCCTGAATATCAGCCGGGAGATTTAGTTTACTTGGAGGCCACCAACCTTAAATCTGACCGCCCTTCAAAGAAGCTTGATGATCGTCGTTTTGGTCCTTTCAAAATCATTCAGAAGGTTGGAGAGCGAGCCTACAAACTGGATTTACCTCGCACTTGGAAGTGGATCCATCCAGTGTTCCACACTGTTCTTCTTCGTCCCTACACACCACCAACTTCCCCATTGCAACAATCGCCACCGCCACCACCAGTAGATCTCGGAGGAACCCCAGAATATGAAGTTGAGAATATATTGGATAGTCGAGAGAGACGTGGAAGAAGAGAATATTTGGTAAAATGGAGAGGACAACCAAGAGAAGAGAACACTTGGGAGCCGGAGCAAAATTTGAAGAATGAGTACGGAACCAACGAGGCGTTCAAAACTTTCCTGGCGCGTGAACGAGAACGCCTCAAAATTTCATATACCACCTCGGGGAGAATGGAGATATGCGATGCTGAATCGAGGAGTGTACTGATTGGAGGATAGGGACATTTAGAGAGATCGTCGATGAGGACATCGACCTTGGGAGAGGGTAATGTGATGAAAAGGCATAGCCAAGGGACTAGCGGGCCTTCAATTTGGTTATGACGCGCAGCCACCGAGAGTCTCGTTCCTTGTTTTCGACCTTGTCTATCTTACCATCGCAGTTCTGTAATAACAATATTATCTTATTCTCCTCCTCGGATCTTTATCTGAGCCCCAACAGCAGACTTAGGGTGTTGCTGACAAGACCCCGCTTCGCTGAGACAGGAAGGGATGAAATCCCTGAATAACAGAGCTGACATCCTTAGTTGCTATGAGGCGTCTGTATAATGAGTGAGTGAATTGATTGATATACGATGCATATATTTGAGGAGAAGAAGTGAACGCCAGTATGTGTTGAAATCATAACAGTGAGGTGAATGACCTTGTCAGCCTCGCGGCGAGTACCGAGAAAGCAGCTTAAGATAGTTATATGTAATCATTGCAAGACGGAGGGTGATACTGCTCTGCTTGTTGAAAGGCTAACATATAACAATTAACGCTTATCGTTTAACCCTGATGATCAATGGCTCGCCAGAAAACATGAAAAAAGTGCCCGCGATAATAGAAGGATCACGCCAGCGTCAAGTTACTTGAGCGCCACCATAACAGATCTGGGATTGCAGTAAGTGACGGACAAAAAGACCGTAAGTAGGATTAGTTTAAGGTATGATGCACGCAGGCCCAACGAGTTCCAAGTGATCCAAAGAATACGACAAAGAAGAATATGTTATGCTACACACAGCAGTGACAATGATCGATTCCGGTATTTATGTTCATGTAAATCAAGTCCGATGCAAGTGCAAGTAAATGGACGAAGAAAAGCTCCCGGCCCATTGAACCCCGAATGAAAAATACAAAAACATTCATCGCACGAGGGCCAGACGCCCGACCATGAGAGCACCAGCTATGACAGCGACCAAGCTAGGCAACGCTTGCGCAAGTCCCAGAGCGTTGCTCATCTGTCGACCTTGGCTCGTACCCGCTAGGGCGTCGGCTAATCCTTTCTCACCATTCGAGGTAGCCAGAACAGAGGGGTCAATGGTCATGGTTGGTCCATGGAGATTCGTGTATGTGGAGGTTGAGAAGGTCATTGTTGAGCTCTGGTCGGACTCGGCCAGCGCATTATCGGTGAGGAATACGGGCGAAACCAGGAGCAGGTACTTCGACTTGACACACGTTATTGACCTGGTCACAGGGAATTGTCTGTATGTCGAGTGGTGCCAACAAGTCGTCCATCTGATGTGAATGGACCGCCAAAGGTCTGGGAAATAATCAGTCTAGGTGGTCAATGCGGAAACTTGATGTTGTGCACACCTGTCCAGCCCACGTAAAGTTGTATGTTTTGAGAGACGGAGTCAGCAACAGGTACCTGAGTGAGCGTTAAAAGACAATAAATCCATGGCAATACGGGATCACTCACTTGACTTGCACTTGAGCAGGCACTGTTCCCCCGATCGAAATACTCGCAGTGTAGTTGCTATTTCCAGACGGATCCGTGATAAAGTTCGTCAGCGCGACACGGACTGGCTGGCCATTTTCGTAAATTGCGTAACCCGAGAGTATAGTCATTTCCACCATTTGCCTGCAGATCCAGGACCTGCGCGACATTGGAGGAGCCCAGCGCTTCTGCGACTACTAGAGCCGAGTAATAGATCGGACCTGCGATGGGAGCATCATTGGCATGCAATAGAGAACTGATGCAAGGTAGCTCATACCGATGGTCCACTGATGGAATGTCGACTGGTTTCTCACAGGCGCTAAGAGACAAAGTTAGAACAATCTTCATCCAGGTAAGACAATTAATACGAACGTGTAAAGGGCTGTAGAGGACAATGGTCAGAGGTTGGATGCCGATAGGACTCGAGTTGAACGTACATTATAATATACGCTCTGCCCACCAACATGGAAAAGAACAGTTGAGAAATTGCTGTATGCTAGCTGGAGAGCATAGTCAATTCCCCACAGGGCAGCCCCGAAGCTGTCGCTTAACCCGGGGAAACCTCCGCAAGACGCCGTATTGGTTTCTGACATTATGAAGGGCTTTCCAACGGATTGCGCATATGCGGCAGCACCGGGAACTCGTTAACAATGTCAATTCCGGCTTGGTGTGTCAAGAAGGACGGGAACATCTCTTGACCAGTGCGCTCAGTTCCTATGCCAAACTGAGCGTAACAATTATCAGTGGGGTACCTTTAGAGTTGTGAGCCGACGACGATAATAATAAACAATCTATCGTTCACCTTTCAACACCCAATGCAGCAAGGTTTTGGTTGAAGTCTGTGGCGAACCCGGTTTGCCAGATATCCGGTAGGCTCCACACACCAGCCAGATTGGGGCCAATGAGCAGATTTTTGTTGGGAATATTAGAGTCTGCTTTCATTGCGTCGATAAGAAGACCGAATTCGTCGTGGTAATCCTGAGGGCTATAAGACTGCAAGAGGTTCAACAATGTGATGCAGAATGCGGCCAGAAAACCCTACATTCGGTCGGTGACCGTGTCGTGAATAAAGATCAGGCTCATTGCCAGCCTAAAGCAAAAACAAGTAATCAGAGACCGGCGTATTATACGTCAGGTTTCCAAACCTGTAGACCAATCAGATAACTTCCAAGCATCGCCTCTCCAACTTCAGCGATCTGCAAACGCCAATTCTGAGTGTCATTGAACGGCACACCTGTGCAAGAAGGTCAGTGACAACAAGAGTATTATCACGCATCGCATACCCATGTACCAATAGACATCAGTGAGTGCAGATCTCGGCCATCATTTTGATGATCTCGTTTGTGAAGACAAGGGGCGGCGTTGCTGTCTTGGAGGTGTTCAGTCTCGGAATAAT